GGACATAAGTGAAGGACTTTGAACATCCAGCTTCAGCTAGGTGATTGTGAAATACCTGCATGCTTTGAGCTCAGCAGCAGTCTTCATAAATGCATTTAAAACTAAATTCTGGGTTTTTGTGGTTTGACTTACTGTGATATTTAGAGAAAAACAGATTTTACCGTTACAATCATGTAAATGTAGTCACCTTATAATGTAGATGTAAATGTAGACTACATTGGGGACTACAGTGATGATGGTATTATGCCATGATGTGTACAGTTTGTGAAATTGTTTTAAATTACAAGGCAAAGATACTCTATTCTAAAACTTAAGAGACTGATGCTCTAGAATTTACTATGAAAATAAATGATATCTGCATGTTGAATTGGGATGGGTGGGGGGAGTGAGCATAATATTTGTGTTCTGCTTTGCAAAGTTATTAAAAGCCTTTCTCTAGTATTTGCTATATTATTGTATTGTTTTATGGTAAATAAAATGTAAAGGAGCATGCAACACTGCTCATCTTCATTGATTTTTATGGTTTTATTTGCAATGTGTTAATGTTTAGTTACAAGTAAGTGGTGTTTCTTAGGGATAGAAAATTAAGACATCTATGAATATTTAATAAGGATGGTGAATATGATTCATTCAGACACATCAAATGCCTAAAAACAAGTGGTCATTGTGTTAAATTAGTCACTACAATGAAATTCTGTAGATAATCAACTTATAAAGAGAAAAGTTTTCTTTTATCTCTGTATTATAGTTTCTGGTCCATGATGCATTAGCCCTGTGGCTTTGCGCCCAAGGCAAGGCAACATACATAGTGGTAGTGTACTTCACAAGCAAAGGAGTAAAGGAAAGAGGAAGGGACTCTTCCCACAAGGGCCTTCTCTTCCACCATTTCCTGATAGTGGCACTGTGGAACTAAACCTTATACAGTGAACCCATGTCTTAAAACTTGATCAGTTACCAAGGGCTGGTTGTACCTCAAGTTGGTTGTAGGTCAGTACAACTGAGATCTGGATGTTTACTTGGGTATACGCTATAGATAACAAGAGGCAGATGACTCCTCCATTAACCTAATTAATCCAAGGTGTTCATATGTCAGGCTGATTGTAACTTGAAGATCCATTGTACATAAGGCCTTTAGGGAACATTCAAGGTCCAATGGGTAATAGTCAAATTTCCAAAATTTGCAAATTCCAGAGGAATAAAAATACAGCCAAGTGTGGTAGCTCACACCTGTAGCCCCAGCACTTGAAAGGCTGAAGCAAGAGGATCACTGCAAGTTCTGCTACATAGTGAATTCAAGATCAGCCTGAACTGCATAGTGAGAACCTGTCTCCCCTCATCCCCCCAAAAAAAGTTGTATAATTCCATTATGTTTGACAGAAAGTTTGTTTTGGGGGTAAATAAAAATTGCCTTATGCCAGAAACATTTCAGCTAACCATGGCCACAGATCATCACAGAACTTAGTGGCTTCCAACAAGCCATTCATTATCTCAGTTTTTGAGTCAGGAATTAAGGAAGGATTCAGCTGAGTGCTTGGCTCTGGGTCTCTTAGGTTCATACACATCCTGGTGAGATATGTGCCAGAGGAGTGGGGGCCTGGACAGGTGAGGCCTGTCTGCATGTAGCTTCAGAATTTTGTTAAATCTCTATGGATTAGTTTGGGCTTCTTCACAGCAAGGCACTCAGAGTAATCATGATTTTAGGCCCAGTGGGAGTGTCCAGAAAGCATGTCCAGATCTGCACTGCCTTTTATGTATGACCCAGTCTCTGAGTCATGTAGCATTATTTTGGCACAAGCCCGCTTACTAAAGAACAGAAATGTATAAACTCTCCACCCAGTCATTTTAGAGTGAACTAATGGGATAGATGTTACAATCATCTTTTCAAGCTTGCCCTTTGACCTCAATAATTCACATCTCTCATGTACAAAGTAAATTCACTGTCTTTCCCAGGACCTCCATTTCATGTCCCATTTATCACCCTGAAGTCCAGGAGTGCATCGTCTAATCAGGTCCTCGTGTGAATGAGGCTACTTATTGCCACCCCTCAGTTCAAAGGCCTGAGTTATCTGGCTTGTTCACCTCAAATACTCTAACCTTGCAGGTATGCCATTGAAAAAGGGAGACTAAATCATGTCAGCCCATGTGAGACACATGCCTAATCCTATTACTGTAGGAGCCTAAGGCAGGAGGATGGTGAGTTTGGTTTGAGGCCACTCTGAGCAATTTAGCAACTTAGATCCTGTTATTAACTCTATCCTCTAACTCCTTCTGCACAAGGGCAGCACATGTTTGCAGCCAACTGATACTCAGTCTACTCCCTGTTCACAAGTTTGAGGATCTGATGGCCTCTTACACCAGTCCTAATAACCCTTCCCCCTTTTTCAAACCTGTGGATTTCTCACATCAATTTATAATCAGTTCTGTTGTACAGAAGCCACCCACGAGTCTACTGGAAACAGTCCTCTTATGTTGAGCACCCTGTGAGGCCGATGAACATCTTTCAGAGTCTCGGAAGCCGTGAGTGGGTTATACAAGGCATGCTGTCCAGTTAATCTTGGCATTTTGACTGGTTTGAGCTGGACACATGACCGGGGCATGGGGACACTTAAGTAGCTGGATCCACTGTTGTTTTCAGCTGAATGTCCTCTTACTGGGGGAGGTGGATCATTGCCTTTGTAGGGTGTACCTCTTGCCATTGCTCTTGTGCTCTGCTTCCCTCCAGTGGCCATGAAGTGAGCAGTTTAGCTCCACCACGCCCTCCTGGCCATGATTTTCCTTCCTTGGAGCCAGCCAACCATGGTCTGAAACAAAGCCAAAATTAAGTCTCCTCCCCCAAGTTGTGAGTAGCAGGTCTTTTGTAGCAGCAAAGGGAGAGCTAATACACATGCTTTTAGGATGCATAGAGAGACATTTGAAATGTCTTGGGTAGTATCATCTTTTTGAGATCTTGAAACTGATCATCATTTGGGACTATCAGAGTTAAAACTTGTCTTGGAAACAGACCCTCTCGGGATTCAGCTCTGCAGGTAGCTGTTAGCAGCCAGTGGTAAGGCATGGCCAGCACTACAGCCCCACGTCCCATGAGAACCTTCAGAAAGTAAGTGTTTCAGGTTTGGAATGAGGCTGCAAATGATCCCATGACTGTGGGCCCAGCTGACCGGATTGGACAGATTCTCAGATGAGGTATGAAGACAATCCTCCACGTTACAGGATCAGCAGTCTTTCCTGCTGGTGTCTGTGCTTCTGTCCATAGGAACACGGGTGGTGGGTGGGGGTCCTGCGGGAGCTGGGCTGGACAGGGCCTGAGGGAGGACGGCTGGAGGAGCACCCGAGGCAAATGAGCAGGGAAGGCGCCCGCGGGGGGGTGGGGGTGGAGGGCTGGCTGGCTCGGCCACCTGCACACGCCGCTCCCTGAGCCTCTGCACAGCCACCTTGGAACTTGGAGGGCCACCTCCACATATTTTTCATGTTTCCAGTAAAATACTTCATACCAAGTATTAACTGCTTTTGCTTGTCTTGGCAGTACTGGAGACTGAATCCAGGGAACCCTGAACTACATCCTTCACCCTATTTATTTTTATTTTTGAATTTTGAGACCAGATATCACCCATACTTGCTTTTGACAATTCCAATCTTCTTGCCCTAGTCTCCTTAGTAATTAGAATTACAGGTGTGCACTACTATATCCAAAGCATTAACTCATCTCCATGGTATAGGGTGGCTTTTAACACACATTAAACACAAATGTGTACACATACACACACGCATACAAACTATACACCAATGATGACAATATCTAAAGCATTTTCCTGAGAAGATACAAAGATGTGAGAGAAGTTTTGGTATAGGGCTCAGCCAACTTGCCATAAAATAAGTTCTCAAGTACAATGATTTTTTTCTCAGGAAATCTATGTAGTTGGAGAATAGGAATCCAATTCTGGGATTGCACTGGCTGCCTCTACTTCCTAAAGTTTTAAGAGTTTATCATTTTATGGATTCCTTTAGTGATTCTTTCCATAAATAAGCTGTCCTCTGGGAGCAGAGTTTGGGAAGTTATTCCCAAGTGTATTCTTTCAGACCACTAGTAGTCTATAAAAGAACCTGATTATTTGACCACTGACCTTGAGCCTACACCCATTAGCTAAGCAGGTAACCCTGAAAATGATCGGTGTTTCTACCATACATATGAACCAGTCACCTTCATCATGAAGGGACAATTCGTCCATATTGTCCCTTTTAAACAAATCTGTTTTGTTGATTTATTGAGATTGGGTTTTACTGTGCAGCTGAGGCTGACCTCGAACTCAATCTTTCTGCCTCAGTTTCCTGAATGTTGGGATTACAGGTGTATACCACCGTACCCAGCTTTCCAGTGAAATGTTTTTCATTAAAAATCTTGGTCTCTACATTTTAGGAAGCATTTCTTATACTTGCACAACAGTGTTTCTTATCCCATATTCCTATCTCCATACACATAAATTTTCTTTGGGTCATGACTTGCCAACTTCTTTATCATTCATTCCTGTCCTCTACCAAAGAATTTAAGATGTTGAAAAAAAAAAGCAGAATAATAGAATAGATGGGGTTTAATCAAAGACTCTTAAATTCTTTTACACAACTGTAAGGGAGAATGCAACATCATTTCTTTTTGTTTTTTGGTACCAGGGATCAAACTCAGGACCCTGCACTTGCAAGGCAGGGCGTGCAAGTCACTGAGCTAAATCCCCAGTCCAACATCATTTCTATTTGACGCGTGAAGACTCTCAACATCTCCCCTTCCCTCCCCTCTCCCTCCTCTTTTCGTTCACCTCTCCCCTCCCCTCCCCCCTTCCCTCTCTTTCCTCCTGGAGATTGAGCCCAGGAGTTCAAACATGCTAGGATAGGGCTCTACCACTGAGCTACACCATCAGCCCCTCCCACCATGTTCTTAAAAGGCAGAAAAACACAGTCAATTGAGAGCCTTCCATAGAAAGCATTTCAAAAGAATGAATCATAAGGTGTCTCTTTCATCAGAAGTATATTATTTTTGAGTACACTTGAAATTTTAAATGTGCACAAATTCAGGGATTTAAAAACTTCAAAAGCCACAGACATGGAGTTTAGGAAGCAGAAGGGTGGGAGCCTCCCTTCTCATTTAATCCACGCCTTGCTTTACATTCCTCACAGGTAAGCAAGCAGTGCCTAGAAGAGAAGCAGAAATGGAGTGATTTAGACCAACAATGCAAGCTCTAGTCTTAACACAGTGTTACTGAGATATTTTCTATGCTTAAGTTCAATAGCTTAATGTTTTCAAGAATAATCATTTCATGGTTTAAAGTCCTCCAAATTTTGGGCCAGGGATTTAGCTCGTGATTCCACCGCCTGCCTCGAAAATGCAAGGACCCGAGTTCAATACCTGGTACCAAAAAATCAAAGCAAAACAAAACAAAATAAGATCCTCCAAATTTCATCCAAAAGGGGGAAGAAAAGCCAATAATGATCTTTATGTTGAAACAGATGATTGTACTCAAGGTCAGGATTAGGTTTAGGGTTCTGACTCCTTTTGAACTTGAGTTAATTTCTATCACTAGCATTTAAAAAATTATAAAACAAATAGTACATTTAGCCAGGATTTAACAATAGACCTATGCAATTAGGTTTAAGTCTAGACACACATCATATATCTATGATGTGTGTGTGCGTGTGTGGTACTGGAGATTGAAATCAGGGCCTTTGCACTGAGCTCATCCCCAGCCTTTGTTTTCTTATTTTGAGACAAGGTTTTGCTAAGTCATTAAGTTGCCCAGGCTGTACTCCAACTTTAGTCCTTCTGCCTCAGCCTTCCTAAGTGCTGGGATTACAGGTATACACTATACTCTATATAAATTTTTTTTAAGTAAAAAAATCTTAATGACGTATCCAAAATTCCTGGTTTTATAGTTTGCCTAATATATATGTTTTGCTTTATTTTCTTGGTACCAGGGATCAAACTCGGGTCCTTGTGCTTGCAAGGCAGGCAGCAGAACCACTGAGCTAAATCCCCCACCCTTGCATAATATGTATGTTTGCTTAGGATTTAATACGATACCAGTGTAATATTTACACCCATGGAACAGATGTCCTTGAGGCCCTCCTTGGGTTAACATTTTAGATTCTTACAAATTCAATTCCAGAAACACTGAGCAGCTACCTGTGGGAAGAGTTTAAAACAGGAGTCCTACATTAATGCAGGACAGCGGCGGGGTGAGTTGTACATGGCAGAAATGTCTGCCTGGCCAAGTAGGGTTACTCTGAAGGCAGCAAGAACAAGAGCGGTTATTGCAAATCCCCAGAGAGAGATGGACAGTGAACCCATTGGTTATGGCTTACATCTAAATGTTCCCCCAAAGCTGCACATGTTCAGATCATGGGTGTGCAATCGTGGATTAGTCCATGACTGATTTGGCACAATTCTGGCTTTGGATGATGGATTTATTGAAGGAAGACCCACCCTGGTGTGGGTGGCACCGACTAATAGGCTTATAGCCTGAACAGAATTAAAAAGGAAAGAAGAAAGAAGGCCAGCTGCCTCTGACCTGCCGTGACATGAGCTGACTCTCCTTTGCCATGCTACCCTGCCTTGGAACCACCCAACTATCGACTGAAACCATTAAGAACTGTGAGCTAAAATAAACCTCTCTTCCTTTAACTTGTGTATGTTGAATATTCTGTCTCAGTAATGAGAAAGTAATTAAGACATCATCTCTCATCCTTGACCATTTAACTCCATTGCTTTGAGAAGAAAGAACAAATTCTTTTTTTTTTTTTTGGTACTGGCGATCAAACTCAGGACATTGTGCTTAGCAAGTCAGGTAGTGTTACCACTGAGATAAATCCCCAGCCTGGAGGTATAAATTTTTCATGTGGTACTAGTCTTCCAGCTTATCTTCTACCACTTCTTAACAGCTCCTTATGCTCCAGCTATGGGATGTTATTTATGGATCCCTTTCATAAATCAGGTTCCCTTCTGTCTACGTGCCACCCCTGGCCTGCAATCTCCTCCAACCTTGCTGTAACTGACTGGTCTTCTAAGATTCAAGTCAAGCACCAGCCCCTTGAAGAAGTCCTCCCCATGCACCTTCCTTCACCCGCTTCTCAACCTCAACTTGATTGGGCGCTCTGCTCTCCTTTGCCTTCCGTAGAAAATCAGGTCACTCTGTGGTCAAGGCCCTTCCCACAGGGCTTAGTGTTGGTTGCCAGCTAATGATGCAGGCCCAGAGCCTGACTGCTATGGCAGGAAGTGTGCAGGTGAGGTAGAGCCACAGAATGCAGAAATAAAGACCATTTACTCAACCAGCCCTTTCTGCACACAAACTACAGAACGGAGATCATCTAGAAGATGTAGATTTCAATCGTGTGTTCATATTATCCAGAGTTGGATAATAGTTACAGAAACTTCCGAAACCGAAGAAGGAGGAAGCAGTTACCAAAAGTTTCTCCTGTGCTAGCTCCCTTTTTCTGACTTCCCCTGCACACACCAGAATCCTGTGGTCAAGTGCTCTTCAGCCAGCTGACCTTAAAATACAGCTTTGCCATGAGAGACTGAAGCTGGTGTTGTCTATAAATATGAATTAATGACTCTCAGTGGCCTTGTGGCTGTCATGGAAAAAGTGAGTTTTTGTAAAACAAATGGGCTGGGATCAGAGTCCCTTTTTGCCTATAGCTAAAGTGTCTGCGCCTCTGTGGGCCACACATGGCTCGCTAGGAAGAGACAGTGTTTAGGGCCCATCTACCACTACGGGACGGGAGAAGACCACATGATTAGGAAAAGAGCTTGGAGCCCTGACTTCCACCTCAGTGCTGTTTTCCCTGTGTCATGCTGCTCCTCAAGTAGAATCCATTGAGACGCATGAGGAGTCTTTAGAGAAATGTGGCCCCAACTCTGGAGTAGAAATAGCACTTACTGTAACGAATAACCATTTCTAGTCCCACAGGAATGACTGTGTTCGTCATTTTATACAGACACGAAAACTGAAGACTGGAGTCTAAGAAACTTGTCCAAGGTCACAGAGTCAGGAAGTGGCAGAAATAATTTGCAAAGCAAGTACTCTCACAGGAGAGACTGCTGCTAACTCCACAGTCTTCATGCTCGTGTCCTCTAGGGGGAATCACCTATTAACACAGTAAAGGCTCTGAGAAGACCTGCTGGAAGGGAGACTGAAGTTTGTACAACCCTGTGATGGCAGAAGCCCTGTCTGCTCAGTAGGCAATTCTTTAGAGATGTGCACAATGTCCTGAACATAATAGGTATCCGTTAAATATTTGTTGAGCAAATAAAATAGGTAACTAAGTTAAATAACTATTATTACTGAAGTGGAGTAGTAACAACTCAAAATTTATGAGAGTTAGCTTTGGCTTTTTGTGGGGTTTTTTGTTTTTTGTTTTTTTTTTTTTTTGGTACTGGGGATTGAACTCGGGTCCTTGCACTTGTGAAGCAGGCCACCGAAGCGTTCAGCTAAATCCCCAGCCCTGTGTTTTTGTTTTTTAAAAAATTTTGTGAGACAGGGTCTTGCCATGTAGTTCAGTCTGGCCTTGAACTAACTATGCAGTCTAGGCTTGCCTCAAATTCATGGCAGTCCTCCTGCCTTAGCCTTGTGAGTGCTGGCTGGGATTACAGGCATGTACTACCATGCTTGGCTAAAGATTTCTAGCAAATGAATTTGTAAAATGTGCTTAATGTTGTAAATAGCAAGTGATCTTTCATTTAATTTCTTATAATTACCTTCATCATAATCCTTCAATCAAATAGAAGACAAACCTGTTATGGTGTGGACCAAAACCAGCCCCACGAAGCTGATCTTCAAAGGAGTGGAATTTACTCTGGCACACTCGGATGTAGGAGGCCTTTCCAAGGCCAAATCCCAGGATACCCGCAACTGCGAGGGCAGGTTAGGAAATAAAGGTAACTGAAAGGTTCAGAATCTTCTCCAGTAACTGCCTCCTAGAACATTCTTTATTAAGACTAATCATTTTTATGTTAAAAGTACAGTACCATGATAATTCAATGAACAAAATATCTGAAAAACAAAGCCCATATTGCAGAACCAGAGTGGGAACCAGGGACTTTTTGGTCTCTGCTTTGAAGTGGAAGCAGAAGGGCCAGGAGAGAGTAAGCAAAGGAGAGGGCCCAGACAAGGGGCTGAGGTCATGGGAGGACAGGTGAGATCTGGGTTATGGCTATGCGAGAGCGCCTTCATTTTCTTTTACTGATTTAAGGCGCTGGGAGCTTCAGGCGGTCTTGCCGCTACAGAGATAACAAGGAAGAGGGAACCTCCCACGAAGCATCCCTTCAGCTGGAGGGAATGAGATTTCTGCCTGTAAACTGCAGTGCAACCTCTCCATACACAAAAGGTCTATGTATTCCAAGGAGAAAAATGAAACCCCAAGTTTATGTTAAATTTGTTATAATAGAGAGAGTCCTTGTTTTTTTAAAAAAATTATTTTTCATGTCCATCATAGGTAATGCTTTGAAGACTGGCTGGACCAGAAGAAGAAAATGAGAAACACTAATGGACGCATCACCCCTGATGCTCTGCAGCTGAGGATTTTGTTTCAGCAGGCCCTTCATATCTGTGGTCTGACTCCACATCCCACGGAGTCAACCAACTGCAGTTTGGAAATACTGGAGAGAAATTGGAGCTTGTACTGAACACACACAGATGTTTTTTCTTTCATTATTCTCTTAAGTCATTTCACCATAATAACCATTTACACAGCATTTATATTGTATTAGGAATAAGTGATCTAGAGATGAGTTAAAGTATACAGAGAAAATGCACAGGTAATAGGCAATTATTATGCTTTTTTTTAAGGGGCTGGAGGATCTGTGGATTTTGGTGTCCTCAGGGGCCCTGGGAGCAATTCCCTGGGATACTGAGGAAAAACTGTATAGTATATCTTGCCTATCCCTCTTCATCCATTCTTTTAAAGAAGACTTCTAAAGAGAAGTCCCTCCTGCTAAGCTGTACATCAGGAAGTACTATATGACCTAGGACACTAAAAATGGTAGGAACTGGAGACTGATATTTCAGAGTCACTACAGGCAATTTTGATAAGCTGGGCATTCACATCTATAGCTGCTATAAGCATCTTCGTCTATCAAAGTGAATCTGCTTGTTTTTATTTCTATGACTTACGTGCAACTTTAGGTAATGATCCAAATCTTGGATTAGCTGCTAAATAACCTATGGAGTAACATACAAATACATTATTACTTATTAAAATTGATAAGTAACTTATTTAAATTCATAAGGAAAAGTTCAAAATTTAAGATATAAAATTTCTTTCTATTTTTGTTTTTTTGGAGACAGGGTCTTACTATGTAGTTAAGGCAGGCCTTGAACTCACTATGTAGCCCAAACTCATTGTGATCTTCCTGTCTCAGCCTCTCAAATACTGGGGTTATAGGTGTGCACCACCACACCTGGCTAAAATATAAAATTTCTTAAATGTACAAATTTTCTTAATCTAAAGAAGTTATTTTATCATGTAAAGGTACAAGGTCCCAGTGACAAATGTAACTGTATTATTTGCTTTAAATATACCAAAAACCTTAATGGGAAAAAAAGATATTATTTTAGAAGAGTTATCATTCCATTTGGTTGAATTTAATTCAGAAAGAACCATTTTAGTCAACTTCCAAATATTAACAGAAAGACTATGAAACAGATCACTAAAGACTGAGTTAAATAGAATGAAAAGAAATGTTATCATCCTCTCCTCTTAACATAACTATAGGCTTATAGCTCAGTGGTTCTGCCACCTGCCTCACAAGCACAAGGACCCGAGTTCAATCCCTGGTACCACCAAAAAAAAACACCAAAAACTTTAGGAAGCTTCAATTTAGAGATTTACAGTCTGGACCTTTACCTGAGCTACATCCCCAGCCCTTATCTATCTATCTATCTATCTATCTATCTATCTATCTATCTATCTATCTATCTATCTATGCATCTATTTATCTATTTAAATTGTGAGACAGGTTCTTGCTAAGTTGCCCAGGCAGGGCTTGAATTTGCAATCTTCTTGCTTCAGCCTTTCAGAGTGATGGAATTACCAGCATATGCCACCATACCAGACTTGTCACAATTTTTAAATGAAAACATTTAACTTGTGGTAGATAGAACAACAGCCTCCTAAAGATGTCCACACTATAATCATTAGAAACTAAGAATATGTTGCATTACGTAAGGGAATTAAGGTAGAAAATGGAACTAAAGTTGCTAATCATATAATTTTTTTTTCCAGAACTGGGCATCAAACTCAGGACCTTGCTCTCACCAGGCAGGCAAAGTGCCACTGAGCTACATCCCCACCCCCAGATAACTTTAAAATAGGGCAATGGCTCTGAATGACCCAGGTGGAATCAACATAATCAAAACAATCCTTGAATAAAGACAAACTAATCGAAGAGAAGAGAAAGATGGTAATGTGAGAAAAACTTGGCTTAATGTAGCTGGTTTTGAAGACACAGAAAGGGGCACCAGCCAAGGAATACAGATGACCTATATAAACTGGAAAGGGAAAGAAATCCTAAAAACTTCCAGAAGAAACACTTCCTCCTGAACTGTAAGATAATAAATATGTGTTGTCTTGATAGAGCAAACATTTTAGCGAAAAAAACATACGAAATTTCACAATGTAAAATGACTTCTGCCATCCCTAACAGCAGTTTGCTTTGTTTAGATCAGAATCAACAGACTAGTCTCGCTCAAAAGTTTTGTAACCCACATCATTGTAAAGAACCATTGTTAATTTTGCTGACCAGACATGCCCCCTTCCCCAGCGCTAGAATATTAAAGGTAAACAAACTCCCACAACTAAGGAGTGCTACATCTGGGTTGAAATTCAACTGTCTCACCGCCATTATTTTGTATATTGGCGATGTGAACTGTGAAAATAAAATGTAACTACCTGAATGAGATCAAGGCTATAAAACCCTATAAAAGAAGGAGCTGTAGCTCAGGACTTGGTCGATTCTGGCACTGCAATTAGGTGGGATTGACCTTTGTCAACACATAAAACTTTTTGTTATTTACTTCCATTCTGTTGCCTCTCTGTGTGTCACTTGCCAATTCCTTTAGTAAGAGTCTTAGGCTATCGTGTTTGCTGTAATTTGTTACAGCAGTAATAAAAAGCTAACATATTCTTGAAAAACTTTTGCACAGATGCAAAAGATGTTATATTTGAATAGTGTAATATTCACAAAACAAAAAAAAAAACTCCTTATTATGTCCTGACCATATTTTTTCCCTATATCAAAAACAGTCTGCCAAGGATTTAGTTCAGTGGTGCCACTGCCTGCCTCACAAGCACAAGGAACCGAGTTCAATCTCTGGTACCAAAAAAAAAAAAAAAAACAAAAAAAAAGTCTGATGAAAGTTTTGTGCTGATCAATGAATATATTTCTACAAAAAGACTACCTTTGGGCTGGACATTTAGCTTAGTGGCACTGTGTCTGCCTGGCAAGCACAAGGTTCTGAGTTTGATTCCTGGTACAAAAAAAGACTATCTTTAAGTGATAAAGATGACATTATATTTCATATATGATCATTACAGACAGTAGTATTTATTAAAATGGAATTCTCCTAGATATGTGACATGAAGGGCAGAGCATGTGGCGGATTTCAGCCCATTCATGTCTTCCCTGGAGCAGCCAAGTGCAGCGAGCAATCTATCTAAACACAGAGAGGCCCTGAGAGACACAGGACTTTTAGTATAGGAAAGGCACTGTGTTAGTTTCTTGTGGTTGCTATAACAAATTACTACAAAGTCAGTGGCAACACAGATGTATCATTGTATAGTTCTTGCAGTTAGAAATCCAAAATCAGTCTCAATGAGTTAAAAACTAAGGTTGTAAGTATATTCCTTCAGTGGGCTGCTTTCATTTTAGGCGAGTCCAGGGGTCTGGTCTTTCTATATCCTAGAGTCCCCCCACATTGCTTAGCTTGTGGCCCTTTTCTTAATCTTCAGAGTCAGAATGTTGAGTCAAGTTCTCACACTGCCATCTCTGGTTCTGTCTTCTGATGCTCTTCACTTTTAAACAGTGTATTGGGTATATTGGGCACCCTGGAACCATTCAGGATAATCTCCCTGTTTTAAAATCAGCTGATTAACACTTTAGTTCCACCTGCAACTTTAATTTCCCTTTCCTGAGTAACATAATACATTCACTGAACTGGGGATTAAGACCTCCTCCAGAAGGCAGGCACTCGGGCTAAAAATAGGCAAAGATATGCATAAGTAAATCCTTCTTCCAACATAGAAGTTTGGCGCTAAAAAGCTGCCAGGAGGGTAACAAAACCTGGACTCTCTGAAGTTAAACTATTTACAAATAGTGACACTTACCTTGGTGGACCAATCCCTGGGTAATTAGCATGCTAACAAGTGAAGCAGGCAGAGCTGTAAAACAAAAATGGCCCTCAATACTGGTTATTTTAAAACGTGGCATCTCAGCTAGAAGTCAGGGATAATTACTCTGAACTTTTCTCTTACCTTCCTTGGCAGTGAGTTTTATTCATTTATTATTTTATTTATTTAACAAATACTTATTAATTAACTACATGGAGAAGTTTCCTGGGATCTTTCTCAGTCACTTATCTGATACACAGTGTCAGTCTAATTCACCTCCATTTCTAACATCCACAATTAGTGAATTTACAACATCTAATCACTATGTCTACCATAGGCATGTTAGGGTGTCTGACACTTAGCTGTTCAATTTTGGAGTTGCTGTTAGCTATATCTTTTGATATGTCAATTCATACATGTTAAAAATCACTATGATGGACTCACACACAGCTTTCTTTCCTCTAGATTCACTAATTGTGAAAATGTTTATTCCTATTTTTTTTTTAAGCCTTCTGAAATTTCTAAACCTCATGACTCTTCATTATAGAATATTTCAGCAGATATCTTCTAAAAACAAGAACAAAGCCAGGCATGGTGGCACACACCTGTAATCCCAGCACTCAGGAGGCTAAGGCAGGAGGATTGCTGTGAGTTCGAGACCAACTTGGGCTACATAGTGAGTTCCAGGTCAGTCTCAACTAATAGTGAGACCCTATCTCAAAAAACCAAAAAACCAAAAAACCAAAAAAAAAAACTAAAAAACCAAGTACATTCTCTAGCATAATCACAATCCTATTAGCATATTTAAGAAATTTGCTTCTTGAGTACTCCTACTCAAGAAAAATTATATTAACTAATACATAATCTGTATTCAACTCTCTCCAATTGGCCCAGTAATGTTTTTCACAGCTGCAGGTTTTAAGGATCATGTATTACAGTTATTCTCTAATCTGCTTTAATCTAGAATAGTTCCCCAGTATTATGTTGTTTTGTTTTTTTGTCTTTCACGATATTTTGTCCCACAACCTGATAAGTATTTGCCTTAAGACCAACAGAAAAGATTATAAGAAGACTATATTCACGTTAAACATATGCAGTGTTTAGCTATGATAGTTGACACAGGCAATTTAGTCTGGTAAGAGCGGTTTCCAGCATTGTAAAATGTGTTAATGACTTCTTCCAAAAGTAGACAGCAGTGATAAACATCTATTTCTTCCTAGCAACCAAGACAAATCAAATACCAACCCATTTTCCCACTTACAGCCAGCTACCTGATGGTAGGCATATGGGCCATACTTGGGATCATTAAATTATTTGGTCATATGCTGTCAGAAGAGACATGAATTTCTAGAAGCACAACAGTAAATATTGTAACTCATTATGAATATCACCTTCTAGGAGGTTATGTCTAAACCTGGTGATACTGGATTTGCATAATTTATGAACTCAAGATTAGAATTCCAAAGTCTGCATTATCCCTATGGCAGCAATATTGCAAAATATTGGGGTTGTAGCTATAGGCTATTATGCCATGCTCTTTTCTTTCTTTCTTTCTTTTTTTTAGATGAGGTCCTGTTATGTAGTTCAGGCTAGCCTTGAGCTCACTATATAGCCCAAGCTGGCCTTGAACTCATGATGATCCTCCTGCCTCAGCCTCCCCAGTGTTGGGATTACAGGTGTGCACCACTACTCTTGGCTATGCTATTTCAAATGATAATCATGGATTTTTTTTTTAATTGGAAGGGACTTTAATACACACCTGGACTATACATCCTTATCCGATGTAAGATAGGCCCAGAAAGAGGAAGCAAGTCAGCACAAAATGCTATTCAGAAACAGTGTAAGAGAAGTATTTATGTAACACTGCCATTTTCCATTCATTAAACAAGTACTTAAGAGGCATTCTGTATGTCTGAGGCATGGTGTAGGCTCCGGGATGAATCCCCAGAGGAGCTTAGGCATCATTTCTGAGGCCTACGAAGCTTACACATGAGTGGAATTTAGGTAAGGCCTACTTTTTGGTCATCAAGGAATTCTCAATAATGGTCCTGATATATGCTGCGCTCACAAGAAGGAAAGAGTTATGTGCGTGTCACTTTCTGCTAAGTGAAGTAAGAGCTCTACAATTAGAGGTCATCTCTGCCCTGAAAAGGGTCTTAAAATGGATTTAAACTCTAAACATTTCCTAATATCAAAGTTCTTCAAGGACTTATGCAAAATCCTGTTCAATAATAAATAATCAGCATAATTCTAACAGGAGATGAAGATGGATATTGCAGCAAATCGAGTGTTAATGAACATCAAGAGGGATGAGTTACCTCTCTTCCAGAAACTTTCTTCTTGACATTCTCGGATAATCTTGGCAATCTCTCCTTTGTGCATGTGCAGTTTTGATTTTGGACAGAACAAGAAACTCTGTAAGGAAAGTTACATGGTGAGTTAATTCAGATCATCAGAAAAGCATCCAAGCCAGGAATGCATACCTGTAATCCCAGCACTCAGGAGGCTGAGGTAGGAGGATCACTGCGAGTTCAAGGCCAGCCCGGGCTACATAGTGAGTTCAAGACCAGCCTGAACTGCATAGTGAGACCCTGTCTCAAAACACCAATCAATAAACAAGCAAACAAATAAAAAATAAAGCACCCATTTTGTCTGTCTGTCTCTGTATCTCCTTCCCTCTCTCTCAGTACTGGGGAATAAATCCATGGCACTGTACAGGTAAGCGCTCTGCTACTGAGCTATATTCCCAGAATTTTAAATTTTTGTTTGGAGATAAGGACTCCCTAAGTTGTCTGGGCTGGCCTTGAACTTGCATCATCCTCCTGCCTCAGCTTCCTAAGTAGCTGGATCTACAGACATGAGCTATGACTCCCAGCTCTTGATTAATGGCCAATCCACTTGCTGGATTTAAGCAAGGAATGAATCCCAGTTGGAGAGACAGAGTGACTTACTGCCTGCAATACAAGGAGCAGCTATTTGGACAGGCTGAATTTCAACTGAGGCCATTTGTTCTTTCTTGCCTCCAAATCTCTATCTATGCAGTTCACTATCCCTACCAGGCTACTCACTCCCTTGGCCTACCTGGTATTTTTTAGTTGTTTTTTTAAACAGGGTCTCACTATGTAGTTTAGGCTGGTGTTGAACTCAAGGTGATCGTCTTGCCTCAGCCTCCCAAGTGCTAAGACTACAGGCATGCACTACCATGCCTGGATCTAGCTGGTCTTAAGACCCAGCTCAGTGTTGCCTCCTTGGTTAAGGTAGAGATCTTCTGATTTTTCCACTGTTCTTTAGAGTAGATATCAAGGAGGGTGATGGACACCATTTCTGAAGCACTTTCTCATGGACTAGGCTCTATGCCAAGTATGTGAAATGCATGGTGTTATGTTAATAGAGTGAGGGTTCCTGTGGCTCCTGTACTTCCACAGTTCTACAAGCAGGGCAAGCTGGCAGTCACCCTTTTATTCTCTACAACCCATGACTCAGTACAAGTGTGCAACGATCAGTGTCAGTCCAACAGTTATAACTGTGGCAATGCACAGCAATGCAGAAGTGACTGCTGTCACTCTGTTACCTGGTTCCTTAGCACAAGTGCACCTTGGCAGGCACTCCTGTGTGTCTTGTGTAAATACAGATGGTCCCTGACTTACGCTGGTTCACATTTTTTGATTTTATGGTGGTTGGAATTGATAGGCTTTCATACTTGGGATTTGGATCTTGTCCTGGGCTAACCATATGCACTAATATACAATTTCCTTTGATAATGGGCAGCAGCTCCCAGTCAGTCACATAATCACGAGGGCACACAACTGGCACTCTACAATGAATTGTGTTGCTAAGCTCTGGTGTTTGGTAGATGGATGTGTTAAATGCATTTTGACTTACGCTATTTGCAACTGCTGGTGGGTTTATTGGCATAAAAGCCCATTGTAAATCAAGGAGTATCTATCCATTCTTGCTTCTGCTGTGGCTACAGCAGAAATAAGGAATGTCTCCATTCCACACATATATGTACACACTCAACGATCACAATTTCTGTGCTTGCAGAGTCAAGATGAAGACTTCTGCAGTCTCCTTTCAGGAGCTCTGGGGATCCTTTACGTAGAGCCATGCATGTTTTATGGTTTTCTATTTCACAGGGGCAGCTCAGGTTTTCACATTCTTTTCCTTGTGACTTGTTACCATTTGTCTGCTGGGCTTGCCTATTCTTCCATCCTTATACATTATCCCCTCCAAAGACAATTTTAGCTTGAAACATGAGTTCCATTTATCCATCAAACACACTCTCTCGCTTTCATTTTATATGTTGCTGAAGCAAATAATATTCATTCCTAAAAAGTGAAAAAATGTGCCCATGTTAACTTGTGAGTTCTCTATGTGATGGCTAATTAGTAATTAAGGACTCCGTTACCCTAAAAGCAACACCTGTCAGTAGCATATGCTTAGTATGATAACCCTTAGTAAAAAAAAATGTAAAAATAGGCAAGATGCATCATTCTAATTGTGACAATAATGTTTTGCTCTGCTACAGGAAACCTCTTCGGTCATGGGCACCCTCCTTATGAGTTAGCTAAGCAGAGTTCCAAACAGGAAAGAGTACACAAAAGAGTTTATAAATAAAAATTTAAAAGGCTTCTTTCTGAGGCAGCCAAAACCAGACTTTCCTTCCTGCACCCATTTAACAAACAGGCAGACTGAAAAAAAAAAAAAAAAAAAAAAAAGA